TATAGCATTTATTATAAAATTAATATTTCTTTCATTAAACCAATATATCTGTGTATATTTTTATTTATATTAAATGATATTAAAAAATTTCTAATTACTAATAAATTTTACTCGAAATAGGTTGCCACTTTAGAAGAGAAACAAGCAATGATGTTACAAACTATGGTAAAGGTATTGCAACAATTTGTATTTCTTCACTTTTCAAACGACAGTCCAACAGATCAATAGATGTCAACGCATAAATTTAGCAGTATGTTTTCTATGTATAGTAATACAAATGCGAAGTTCTTGATTTCAATAAGGAACAAGCTATGGTTACGCTACTTCTAATCGCACACCTTTCATATTTTCAGTATATATTTTATACAATACAAAAGGCCTTGGTTTCTCTTTCCATTTTAAATGGAAATGTTAGTGTAACTTATATTATATCATTCGTCTATTTATTCGCGTACATAGCAATATTTACCTGATATTGTTTAAAACAAAACATTCTACATGTTATTTTTTACATATGAAAGTATTTTCTTGATTTGCATATGATCTCAGTGTAACTGCCTAATTTCTTTATTACTCTGGTATTGATATCAATAGAGTAAAAATCAAAGATATAGTAAAATTCATTCCACTTTTATATTTTCATGAATTATAATCAAATAATATATTTTTTCTTAATATTTTAAATTATATTTAAAATTATTTTTTAAGCATTAACGATATTTATTAAACACCTGATAATATATCATTCTGATACGCCTTCCTAATCTTTTCGCAATAGCGGAACTGGCCAAAAAAGTGCTATCACAATGGAGCACCTGGAAAATTTATTTCCTCATTTTAAAGATTTTATCAAGAGATGCTATTTCATAATTACATGTTCCTTGCTAAAGTTTATTTAAATAAAACTCTTTTTGTGTTAACAACAAACAAATGTCGTTGCTACATAATATTATTATATTTTAACAATGGGCTGGCTATTCGCGCGTGGTTTGCTATAGTGGCATTTTCGTACTTAGGGGAAAATTCACGGGGGTCGCTATAGAGACCTGTAGTAGCGAAAGAGCTAAACTATATGTTGAAACTATAAAGAATGTACTTGTACTTAAATCGTTATTAATGAAAATTATATAATTTGTTTTCCGTTAAGGAGCTGCCTCGCAAATAATCATTTTTAAATCAATTATATAATTCAAGTGCCAATATATTTAATTTTCTCTCACATAATTCCGTAACTTTATTATAAAAATTGTTTAGTTCTAATTAGTTATATTTTAAGAAATATTCAAATATCTTTAGCAGAAAATGTAGAAATGATTTCTTAATCAATTAGCGAAATATATTCTTTCTCTTCATAAGCAACGCAAACTGGTGCTACACAATAAAATAGTTGTGATATGCTGTATCGCATACATTGTAGTACGACTAAATGAGGCAGCGAACTATAATTAATAATTTTTATCCTAATTAAAATTAATAACATCGGAGCAACAAGACATATTGATGCTCTTTTTTTTAAGAAACAAAAGAAAATACATAATGATAACTTTATTCTATATAATCACGAAACTGTTGAATATTTAAAATCTTTTTATTTTTTTAAAAGAAACAAAATTTTCAGTAAATACGATGCGATTAGAGATATATATGAGAAATACGAACCAGAACAATATCTAATTTTTTATATTAGTAACAAATAGAAATATTTTATGCTTCACTTTCACATGTATTATTTTAAACTGTACCTTAGTTGTATGTCATAGTATAAATACACACTATCCTAAATAAAACTACTACTATAATTCGCAATTTAGCTGTCATCTTGAAAAGTCATCTAGTCTGAAAGACACAGATTGCAGTGATTATAAGATTAAAGTGCCACGGCCAATAAAACTAATTGTCACAATGAATGTCATTGTTAACAAATATTTCCTTCAAAAGGTAATAATAAACTATACTGAAAACTATGTATATTCACTTATTAATATGTTTTCATTTACAAGAATTGTAACTTGATTTTTAGAAATATAGTAATTTTATTTTTTGCTAATGAAAATTATACATTATTACGTTTTGAAGGACACTGGATGTAATATA